GTTAACAGAACAATATACTAAGAGAAAAGAAACTTATAACTACATGGTGTACATGATTGTTGACTCTGCATTACTACTCCGTCCACAATATTTAAGGGGTTTGAGGGGAAGCTCCCCCACCAATTTTTTGTATTTAATGTATGTTGCTTAATCAGCTGTTGAGCTATTATTTCAAAGGTAAGGGTCAAGTGGAGGGGATTCTTCCCCTAAAACCACCTAAATATAGTGAATGAATAACAAAAATAACTACAGTACACAGAACAGAAAATTAGCTAACAAAAACCAAAAAACTTACATATACCCCAAATCCAGATTGGAATTGAATTACATTCCACAAGGACCTGCAGACTTGCCAGTAAATCGCTTAGAAATTGTGAGGAATAAATACCATGTGCCGCAGCAAACCTGCAGACTAAGAAAATTTGTTTTTGCCTGATTTGCGTTTAACAAAAAATTGTCACATTTACCTTTGTTGTTGTTGCCTGACCTCTTGCAGGTAAGATGTTTGTGTCACCAAATGGATTTCTCCACCTTATGCGGCGTCTTCAGGGGTCTTCTTGAATTTATCTCCTTATTACACTACACTAATGTCTAAATTTACAAAAATATTGTTACATAAACGGTCACTAGTATAGCGGTAGGGTTGATCGGACAACGTGTCAATGAGTAAGTGGCGTAGTCATGGCAGTAGGTCTTTCTTCCTCTGTTTCAATTCTTGGACTAGGATTGTCAGCATTAGACCATTCGAGGTTTGACACGATAACCAACCAAATGGAAAAGGAAACAACCAGACGTACATGACCCAACCAAAAGATACGTATGTATCCACCAACTATATAGACAAATCAGCCTAGAAATTCCAAAAGAGTTGGACACACCTACCTATAAAGTGAAAACCAACCTCATCCCAAATCACAAAATTCCTTATATAAAAGACAGGCTAATTAAAGATGGGAGAGTCACAAAAATATTTCCTATAACCACCATCTAACAACCAATACCATAGGTTACACCAACAGAACAGTTTATCAACGATTTAAAGAGCATGACACAAGTCATCATAACAGCTCTAGAATTCTACAATTCCCGATTCCCTCACAATTCAGAACAAAACCGACTCAAAAACCCATAGCAAAAGTACAAGAAAGTTACAAAATATAAATGGATCGAACACCCTCCTAAACAAACAAGAAGATTACACCGTCCTACAATTTTCAAATTACGACAGCGACATTGAAACAAGCAAATCTGGAAACACAGCACCTAACCATCAGCAACAACAGAGATCAAAGCACCGACCATAAACCAGGAGAGTCAAATTAACCTCAACCGTCGATCGGCCCTAATGCCGACATCCCTAAGTCTAGAAATGAAACGGAGGAAGAAAGACCATCCACCATACTTCTGCCACATGTACATCGTCACTGTCCGATCGACCCGACCGCGATACTAGTGACCATGTGTGTAAATATTATTGTAAATATAAATTAGTGTATTAATAAGATGAATTCAAGAAAACACCTGAAGATGAAACACAAGGTGGAGAAATTCATGGGGTGATACAAATCTCCTACCAAGAAGAACATAGGCAACTACAACAAAGGTAGATCTAATAGTTATAATGCAAGTTCTTGAATCTGGGATGGCAAAAGATATTTAAAACACTGTCATATACCTTGTAAAATGTATTTCCTATTTAAAACATTAGGTTCAGTGAGTGCTTAGGTTTGCTGCTACAGGACAGTTAAGTGTGTTTTAGTGAAATACTAAAAGGCGAGTATGAAATAAATCAATTTGCCATGTTTGATTAAAAATATTTATAAAAAAGAAAACTGCTTAAGATTATTTATTCTCTATAAAATAACATGGAAATTTCGGATTTACCGTTTTTCTTTGGAACAATCTACTAAGTAATTTGGGTTTGTAAGCTTCACAAATTGTTTGAAAAAAAATTTGAACATTTTATATTTTATAAATGAAAAGAAAACCCATTTTTTACCGCATAAACTCCCTCCCTAAAACTCCATCCCCATGGCCCAAGCATGCTGGTTCCCAAACTCATTATTTGAATAAGCGTAAAGTTTACTAAATGTTTATACCAAATATAATCAAAATTGGGTTATTGTTACGCAAGTTAACGGTTATCGTCCTAATGGAATGAATGCATTTCAACGGATGGTGTTTTTGTTCTCTGGGGACATCTAAACGAATAAGTTAATTCGTCCCAGGTCCGGGTATTATAAGACCTACGGTAATAGCTTATCCCCTATATTGGAAAACGGAAATTGAATAACAGTCGGAAAAGATATACTTAATAGGTGCGTTCGAGCGCATCAGTTTATATTTCAAAAGCTATTTGTTTGCTCTGTGAAGAACACACACACCGCAGGAGCTTTCACCGGACTCCTGTGCATGGCTAGTCTACTAAGTCCTTTTTGTATCGACTTATATACCTTTAAACAGTCATGCATAAATACACCACAATACAAAAAACTAGAGTACTGTATTGTACATTGTAAATATATGTTCTACATAATAATATGTTCTACTAAAAAATACATTTAAAAAATCTTTTTTTAAATAATTTTATTCATACTATAACAAAGCAAACCGATGTAATATTTAAGTGACCATTACTCCTTACACTACTTGTGTAACAACTTACACAAAATAAAAATAAAATAATGAAAAAAACTGTAAATTTGTTAGGAGTGCTCCGGCTCAGTAGCCAGGGTTAGAGAGCCGGCTATTCTCTAAACAAGGCCAATCTAGGATTACGCCAGTAATCTCCCTAAACATTTTACATATTGTTTATATTTTACCTCTCAGAGCTCTAACTGGGAATAGAGGAGACTACGATCCAGTCTTGTTATTTTGGGTGGGTTAGGAAAGGGTATTGGGAGTTAGTGAGGTACAGCGCTGTATAGACCTTTTCGTCGCTCCTACATTCCAGCCATACATCTGGGAATTTTTCTGATTCTATTTAATAAAGTCTAGCACCAAAATATTTTTACAAACAAAAAACGGAGCACTCCGTGCAAACGATGTTAGAGTATAGAATATTTTTTTACCCTTACATAAATGGACAACACAGTACCAAACAATAATCACATCACTATAGTCCGTTTACAAAATGCAGGTGATTGAAGGGGAAGTTTTTCTGGGTTTCCCCAACACTTTTCTCTTAATGTATGTAACAGCTGATTAAGCGGTTGAGCTTATTGACATCTGTCCAGCTATTGTTTCTGTTGTAATAATAATAACAATAATCATCCTGCTTTACGATCTAGTCATCCTAATGAAGAAATTGGAACAAAGTTTGGAAGACTAGTAAAACCTGTAAAAAGATATGAGTGAAACTGAAAAGGGGGAGATGTTGTAATAATAAGCAGATGTTAGGATTAACATCTGTTTGTTTGCTTGTTTACTTTTCTATGTATTTAACAGATTGGAAGAATAGCTTGTACAAGGTATGAAACTGACTGGCATTTTGTGAATGGAATTTGAACTGGACTCTATCTATAGCTGCAGACAAGCCTACTGAGGTGTTTGAAGCTTTGTATAAAATGTATTTTGTTTATAATCTTTTGTTGCATGAATAAATAAATAAATAAATAATAAATACACTTTTACACTTCTAATGTTCGTTCATTGTAATTTTATCTCAGTTAAAAATATACTTTTTCATCAAGTCTAATGAATTTTCAATAGGTAATTAAATGTAAAGAACCCCCTATAACCACCAAAATTTTGTAAACAGAGTTTAATACAAAAAAAGATTAGAAATAAACAGAGCATTTTCCAATACTTTGCTTTCCAAAGTCGTTCAGAGTGGCGAGTCGGTCTGTACAGCCTGTGGTGACGGCGACACAGAGCAGGTCCAAGTTGGCAACTAGTACTCTCCCTCCATCTTAACAGAAGAAAGATAACAATCATCACTAGTATCAGGGACACACTACCTGATACCATTGACTATATACACCTTATAGTATATATATGTAGGTATATATAGTCAATGCTGATACTTAGAATACTGATGAGTCGCTCATAATACATATGTCGCATATCTAACCACCGCAACTCTGATAGTAGGACCTGGGACCTAATTAATTGTATATGGTCTCTTTCAATGAGTATTCTTTTAATTTTTATGGTATAGCCTCTAGATAAAAGAATATTACAATAAAAGGTTTAAATTACCTGTATCCGTCAAGTGATCCTGGTTTGTAGTTAATTGACTACAGCCGTTTTGTGTTGTAAAAACACATTTTCAGGTCAAATGTACATTGATTTATTCCATGGAATGGTCGTCATAAGTTTTAAGGTTCACAAAAATAACACATACACGTACACAAAACATTAAACATAAATTGGCCAAAACAAAAAATACGAAAAACGCGTAACAGACATCGGACACGTATGGCGCCAGTAGAAAGTAGGTCATAGGAGTTTTTGTATTTTTAGTTTTGGATAATTTATGTTTAATGTTTTGTATACGTGTATGTGTTATTTCTGTGAACTTTAAAACTTATGAAGACCATGGAATAGATCAATGTACCTTTGACCTGATGATATGTTTTTACAACACGAAACGGCTGTGGTCAATTAACACAAACCCGGATCACTTGACGGATACGGGTAAATTAAACCTTTTATTGTAATATTCTTTTACATTCAGGCCCCCTTTAATTCTAGGCCACAGCCATTGAAGTGGCAACGTCGCAAGTAGGGTTCAAATGTAACAGCGGTTTTGTTTCGACGCAACTGGTATTTGTGTATTTTTTTAAAACACAAAAGGTTGGTAACTGGGGCTACTAAAATGTTGACTCCACTCTAAATGCACTGTTAGAAATATATTTTAAATTCTACCTGTAACAAGAAGATTGTTCTTGAACCTCATACAGGAAAGAGATCAGCTCAATATGGTAAGAACCAAAAAAATCTTAAGACACCTTTTAAAGTGTCTACGTATTTAACAACTATTTATTTCTTTGTTTCAGATAGTTAATCAAGTGTATGAGTTACCTTATGAGACGAAAGTGTTCAAGAAGCCTGACGTGGGGCAGAATACAGCTGCGTTAAATCCCATGCTACACTTTTGGTAAGATTGGCAGACACCAGCACACCACGGTGATATGCCTGCAACAAGGCACATCAAGGTGTTAAAAGATTAGAGGATTAACACAATTACAATTAATTATATACGTTTCTTGTGAAATCAACCAAATCTAGAATATCTATCGTTTGATCTTTTATTTTTATTATTTTATTTTACCTTCCAACGGTCAAGAACCAATTTACAATATGTTGTAGATGACTTAATCTAACTCAAAGATATACATACAAAAATCTTATTTAATTGTTAGTTTATTTTTCCAATTTATACATCGGTTTATTTACGTACAATTGCATGTTTACTGTTTTTTACTGTATTTTTAACGTATGTGTGACACATTTAAATCGGGTAAATGACCAGTTGCTCGGTAGCTGTGGACGAGTGAGTGTGTGTTGCGCAATATATTAACAGTGGTTCTGTATTAAAAATAGTAAAACAATGAATCTGTTAAGTGTTGTTGCAATGAGGCACAGAATTAGGCAGCGTAGGATTGAGCAGAAGTACTGGATTCACCCAATTAATCAAATTATTAATTGAGTAAAAAACCGACTTTTTTTTCTTTACCCTCCAATTGTTCAAAATCCTCTCTCAGAGCAGAGCTAACTAGTTTCCTTGCTTCTTTCGTTTAATTTCTGTCCTAATAATAGTTTAAAGTTTTATCCCACAGTACTGGGTTTGCTTCTACTAATTAAATCAAATCATCATTGTCGATTATCACTTCAGTTGCTATTTTTGATCTACCCGATAATTCATTTTATGCCATTTCCACTCACAACTGTCACTATTCACTCCAAAAAACAAACGCAGTATGCAAAGTGCACAGAGAGAAGGTGCAACCAGAACTAGGACTATTGGGGAGAACGCACGACATCCGACAAAAAAATTGTGGTGTGGGTGAACGCCCATTTAATCATGTACGCCATTGCGAGCACAACAGTCAGGCGACAGTTGTGGATCACAGATTCAGTGGACAAATGCACAACGACAGAATGATGTAGTTGTTAGACTGTAGTACAGTGGGCAAGCGCTCATAAGATCCATTGGTTTACTAATTGGAATGTGCAGGGCCGATATAAGGTGCGAGGCAATTAGCTTTTTTTGGGGGGCGACAAAAAATTGTAAATAAAAAAAAAATAGTGATTGTATTTGCATGCGATTGTGGTAATCTTCTGATAATCCTCGCAGCCGTGTAGGCAAAATTCTGACCATTTTCCACGGCCGTGTAGACATAATTATCATCTTCCATTATCGTGGCAATATATGAAAAAATCCCACCGTCTTGGGGAGATTATCATTGTCTACCAAGTATGAGGAAAAATTCTGATCTTTTCCCGCAGTTGTGTCGACATTACTATCGTCTTACGCGATAGCCGGGGAGGTCAAATTCTGATCACCCCTCGCGGCTGTGTGGAAATCATTATATCGTCACCCCCGGTTGTATATGGACACATGTGTAGACATAGTAATTGCCTCTCGCGATTGCGGCAAAATGGTAATTATCTCCCACGGTCATATGGAGACCATCATTGTCTTCAGCAAATGAGGCAAAATTCTTATCTTTTTCCCACGACCATGTGGACATCAAAGTCTCTCTCAATCGCGGAGAAACGGATTAAATCAGTGCAATTATTTTATCAACAAATAAAAAAATAGATGGGCCCCCTCCTAGGCCAAGGTCCCCGCAACTGCTGTGTTCACTGCTAGGGAAATACAGCCCTGAGTATTTATGTAGTTTGTAATTTTGCTTTACCACTGACAAGATTCTTCTTGAGCCTCATATGGGAAACAGATCAGCTCAATATAGCAAGAACATTAAAAAAATTAAGAGACCTTTTAAAGTGGCTATGTATTTAACAACTATTAATTTCTTTGTTTTAAATAGTAAATCATTTGTTAGATAGTCACCTTAAGGGACGAAACTGTTCAAGGAGCCTGACGTGGGGCAGAATATACAGCAGCGTTAAATCCCATGCTACACTTTTGGTACGATTGGCAGACACCAGCACACCACGGTGATATACCTGCAACAAGGCACATCAAGGGGTTAAAAGATTAAAGGATTAACACAATTACAATTAAATATATATGTTTCTTGTAAAGTCAAGCAAGTCTAGAATTTAATTTATCATATCTTCGATATATATATAGAATTTACTGATTATTTTGGAAAAACGCCAGTACTCAGTTAGGTAATTTAAATATATCATGAGATCTATTTTATTTGTTACTTTATTTTTCAGTAACATACTGTTGCATGTTTACTGTTTAGTACAGCTAGCGTCAGCTAAGCTGGCTCATGGTGGCCTGTGGGCCTGGCGCGGCACCATAGGCGGGGGGAGGGTGGAAACTAGCTTAAGACCGTTCTGAGAACATCGGACTGTCAGACGTGAGATCCCGCGTTCCGACCGGCCAACTCTGCGAACATCTCGACTGACTCACGGGGTTGACGTCCTAAACAAACTATGACTAATAGAGAGGGCGCTGTTATGACAAATCTTGTACGTTCCTAAGCACTGTGTCTTTACTCAGTAGTGAGTTGTGCTTGTGCAGTGTCACAGTGGATCGTGAAGTGGACTGTTTTCATAACGAAACGTGTGTGAGTTTTTTTGTCATGGCAGAATTTAAATCGAAAGTAGGGATTGGTGGTAAGGTTTTAAATAGTCAGAGTAGGGAAATCGTGGCAAATGTTTATACATTTATGAAAGAGGAGTGCAAGAGCGGCATTACAATACCACTACAGCAAATGATTTACATATTTCGTGTTGTATTGTTAAAATTGTTACAATTTTACCATGTTTATTAAATGTACAGAGTTGTATTGATGTGTTTTATAGTGTTATATATATTTTTTATATACCGGTACGGTAGGTTTGTTATAGTGTTTTATTATTAATATTGTAATTAGTTTAACGTACTGTAAATATGACGTGTAATATTATATACAAATTTGTGATATTCTTACTTATATATTAATCCTGTATTTTTACGATGATTGTGAATATGTAAATATTATAAAAATGAGTTAAAAAAAATAAAAAAGCCGGAAGGCCGCTATAAATATTTTTTGAGTGGATCTGTAATATCAACCGGATCATTCATTTAATATGTAAGCGGCTAATATACACAACGTGGGGAATACAACTTCTTTGGCTCGGTCAAGAATAGGCAAAAAATAGGTAAGCCCACAACATTATTTAAACAACTTTGTTTAAATTTCATTGATGGTGATGATGAGTTTATAACATTGAACATATTATTGCAACCATTTTCCGTCACTATTAGCTCTATTAGTAAAACAAATCATAAAAAGCGCAACCTAAGCACCCATGCTCCCTAGTTACATTAACAACTGTTTATAAAAAGTGTTTAGAAAGTTTAGTTTATTAATTGTTAATGGATGCAGTGCATACAACCATACAACACATCTACTGTATTGTATGCCGTCTACTGAAGCGCCTTCAAGAGAGCAGTGAGGGCAGTAGACGCAACCCGCATGACGGCAGACAATATTTTTAACCTAGGCTAGTACAGAATTTCTATCTATCGGTCACGCGCCAGCTTAGCTGACGCTAGCTGTAATGCTGATCTGTAAATCCATTGTGTATCTTCATACACTAAAAGAATAAACTGTGGTTTACGATCTGCGGTTACCATAGGTTATGGCACACTCCACTGGGAGCGCTGTGTAGTTACGGAGCATGTACGTCGTAACGTAAATCCATTGAGTATCGTATTCTTATCAATTTAAACATTTAGTTATTAGATATGTAAAAAGCTACCTGCAAATGATAAAAAAGACAGCTGATATTAACAGCTTCTCGAAGCGGGAAGTTCATACTTGGAAGTAGTTGAATTACTTGCTGTGAGATTTTCTCAGGAAAGTTCTCCCGCTACAATCGGAGAGATCTGAAACAGGATCAACGAACTATTAAAAGTAATCCTATCTGGAACAAAACTTACTTCTATTTACCTGAGTCTCTTCATTTAGTTGCATTTGACTTCCAAATCCTAAAGGGACAGTTTAATAGTTGGCAGTTATTTTTTAGATTAGTAATTTTAAATATGGAATAGCTTGACCTAAAATGTTATTTGCCGACATATTATATTTTCCATTGTAGTAAACTGTCTTGGATACTTTTCTTACTTACTTACTTTACTTACTTTTTTTTGGTAAATTTCTGCTATCTACTTAGACTTAGGTTGTATTACCCTATTATTGTTTCTGTTTGTAGAGTAGATAAGATACTTACTTAGGTAGTTGAATACAGCTCTGACAATGCCTTTATGGAAGCTAGCAGGATGAAGAGAAGAAAGTAAGGAAATCACGACAGTGGGTTGGAATAAGGTTCAAGGGATACTTTGGATAAAGGACACCCGTGGTAGGGAGAGGAGGTCCAGACACAATTATTTTTATCTACCTCTTCTCTCTACACACAAGCACTCCCTCGGCCATGTTCAGGTGGAGGGCCTCCTGTTTCTACCACATAATATTACCGTACTGTGGTAGAGCCGTAACACAAGCTTAAGGTGTGGATTACTAATCAAAACCTGTTTTCAAAACTCCAAACAAATTTTTGAATTTTGTCAAATATATCTTACGATATGATTTTTGAAATAATTTGAGGGCCGAAGCCCATTTATCCCTCCTTGCCACCCCTGGTAAGAATCTTAGAAGTTTAATCATGCAAAACCTTACATAGGAATCTATAACTTAATACAAAATATATGTATATCCTACAATTATTCCCTAACTTAAAGAAGGTGTATTAATAACACCTAGTTAAATGAAAAAATATCTAATAATAAAAATATATGTTTAAAATAAAAATAAAATTGGAATTTACGTAAAACTACACAACTTACCACTTTTTTTAATTTGTGATTTCCTTAATCTTCTTCTTCTTCTTCTTCTGGTTCTTTTAACTAATATTAACAATAAACTCAAACTATACAACTTTATGACTCATATCTGAAATCGCATCAAA